TGGTGTGTTCTGAAAAAGACCAAACTGCTTATTGTGGTTTCCTTGGAGAATGGGAATGAGACAGTGTAGAGAAAAACAAGATTAATAATAATTTCTTCTACTTGGCTTGATACTTCAATAACCATGTAATATTATTATAATTATGTTAACAATGCCATTTAAAAAATAATGATACAATTCACTAAAGCTCAGGAAACTGACCATTTTTAAATAGTCAAAAATGGGGAAAAAAAGAAATTTGGTTCAATAATGATAAAATTCCAGAAATCAGCAGGTATTCAATTCAGATCTTCAATTCAGCAATAAGCTCTGAAGATAAAGAGCACAACTAGAAATGACAGGGTTCATCTAAGTCTGCTCACTTGACTTTATGAATAAAAAAGATGTGAAAATTCACTGCTCTTTAATCCTTTTATACAATCTTACAAGGAAAAAACAAAATAACACCATGAATTTTTCTTAGTTTATGTACATTTCCTTAGTTTATGTACTACAAATGAGTGTATAAAGCACCTCGATTTCCTCTCCCTTGTCAAATAACAAAGCTTTTGTCTTTGCTTAAGCAGAAAAGATAGTTTTCTAAATTAGTGAGAATCACAAAGGAAGGAACAGAGTCAAATACGCTGGTGAGGTGGTGATGGGTTCATTCCATGACTGAGGGCACAAGCAGAAAAGATAGTTTTCTAAATTAGAAAAAGGAAGGAACAGAGTCAAATACGCTGGTGAGGTGGTGATGGGTTCATTCCATGACTGAGGGCAGAAAAGCTCACTATGGTTGCTGAGAGAAGGGTGCAGGTGGAAAGGCCCACGGTTACTGAAAAGGGAGAAGCAGGTGTGTGGGTGTGATTTCTCCAGCAGGCAGCCTACAAGGAAGAGCTGGGAAAAGTCTGTGAATATAGAATAAATACTGTCACTGGGAGCTGCATTGATTCTTTTTTCAGACTAATGGCTCAGATGGTAGAACCACCAAACAATGACTAAAATATGAAACAAATGCTTTCAAATCAAAATCACTCCAATGAACCAGGAAGACAGGCAAACAGAGAGCAGGTCATTAGGGGTTCTAACCAATACTGGTTAAATGTGGAGAAATTCACTCTCCTTAATGATTGCCTTTTTCCATCTAAGTCATCCTGACATTGGTGACCTGGGGACGTTCGATCTTCATTGTTCGTGACACCTCCGGATTGGCTCTGCACAGTGAAGGCAGCTTTTGGCTGGGTTCACAGGCTTGCCCTGATCCTGACTTGTCTTCCTGCTCTCTCAGGGTCCATCCAGCATGTCTTCAATGATGCCCAAGTGTGTCAAGTAATTTTAAAATTATGAACCCTCAAATTGAGTTTCTTGAGATTTTTGAAAGGCAATTTTCATTTAAATATAACAACAACTCCTATGAAGACAAAGTGGAGCTGGGAGAAAGGAGGTGAGGAAAAGCATATTAAAAGCTTCACCAGGAAGCTCCCAGAAGGCTTCACCCACCATCTGAGGCACAGAAGAGGCAGCAGCTTGTCCTGCGGCCCTCACGGAAACACCATGTGGGCCCACAATAGACTTGTGAATGATTTCCCTGACATTTTTCCCCTCCCCACTCTATTTTCTGTTTCAAGTTCTTTCCCAAAATGTTCATCCATTTTTTTCTGGTGTGTTTTTGTTGTTTTTGTTTTTTGGAGGGGGGTAGAAGAGGGTGGAGGTGGGTGTGACAAGGTCTTGCTATGTAGTTCAGGCTGGTCTTGAGCTCGCTATGTAGCCCAGGCTGGCCTTGAACTCGTGGCAATCTTCCTACCTCAGTTTCCGAGTACTGGGATTACAGGTGTGTGCACCACCATGCCTGGCAAGTGTTCATCCTTATTTTATAATTCTATTATTTAAAAAAAACTTCTTCTACTGAAGAGATCCTGAGGAGACAGTTATTTTTACCTATTGGAAAACTAAGCCTTTTAGCATATTTATTAGAAGAGGACCTCATAAAGAACAAACAGCAGTATCTACATCCCTCCTGAGTCAGGCCCCTGTTTTTATTCCAGCCCCACCTTCCCCCTTTTTTTTTTTACTCTTATCTGACCTGCAGTAAGAGGAATTGAGTACAGATGGGCCTCAACTTACAATGAAATTATGTCTCCATAAACCCATCACAAGTAGAAAATACTGTAAGTCAAAAATGCATCTAATACAACTAATCTACCAGACATCACAGCTTAGCAAGAGTACACTGTAGAGCAGCTGTCCACAACCTTTTTGGCACCATGGACTGATTTCATGGAAACAATTTTTCTATGAACAGGGTAGAAGTAAGAGTTGGAATTGGGGGGTTAAGGATGGGAAGTGGGGTTTCAGGATGATTCAAGCACACTGCATGTATTGTACATTTTATTCCTAGTGTTATTATACTGTAATATATAATGAAACAATTATACAAATCACCATAATGTAGAATCACTAGGCACTCACTGATGGGGTTTTGATATTGAGTCTTCGAGCAGTTGATTTATCACAGTCCCTGGACAAAGCTCTCTGCTGTTAATGTGCACTTACAACCACTCCTCAATACTAGATCATCAGGCATGAGATTTTCACAAAAAGTGCAAAACCTAGATCCCTGAAATATGCAGTTCACAGTAGGTCCATGCTGCAATGAGAAATCTAATGCTGCCACTGATCTGACAGGAGGCAGCACTCAGGTGGTTATGTGAAGGGCTGTAAATATGGATAAAGATTCACCTCCTTGTCCAACACTTCCTTACTGCTGTGCAGTCTCGTCCCTAAAAGGCCAAAGATCAGTAGCAGTCTGCAGTTTGGGGACCCCTGCTGTAGAGTATTCATTGTTTAATCATTTGAAACAAGTGACTGGGGGCTGCACATTGCTAACTCAGGCAGGAAGAGACCAAAATTCAAAAGTTTCCCTTATAGAATGCATAGCACCTCGCTACCATCATAAAGTGGAAAGAATCTAAGTCAAAACACCATCAATATAAATCATGTAGCACCCAGAAGTAGTACAGGGCCCACAGACCAGGGACCAGGACAGGGAGCTTCCTCTGGTCTAAATTCAGCACTCTACACACACTCTCTGTTCTCCTTCCTAAACTGATTCTCTTAAAAGGGTATCATATTCTTTTCTTTAAATTTTTTAAACTGTTGCAAAGTGCACATAATATTTTCCATTTTGTTATCCTTTTTTCATTGTAACTTTTAAAAGTGTATAGTTCAGTAGCATTAAGTACATTCCCACTCAAGTGCAAACATCACTATTATCGACCTTCATAACTTTATCATCTTCTCAAACTGAAACGGTATGGCCATGAAATAACTCCCCATTCCCCTCTTCCCCTGATAACCACCATTATACTTTATGCTTCTATGAATCTGACTATTCCTGGTATCTCATATTAATGGAGTCATAGAATATTTGCCTTTTTTAATTTGCTTTATTTCACAAGGAATATCCTCCAGATTCATTCATGTTGTAGCCTATGTTGGAATTTTATTCCTTTTTAAGGTTGAACAATATTCCAGTGTATAGATAAATCATATCCATCCATTCACTTGTCAGTGGATGTCTGGGTTACTTGCAGGACAGTATTTTTTACTTAATTTCACAATGTATAACTTGCAGGCAATTTAAATTCAATTCAATTTATTGAATATTTATCAAGAGTAACTCACTATGTTAGGGGTGTGAAAATTCACAACAGTGAATGGAACACATTAGCTGCTCTCAAGGAATTTACAATACCTTGGGCAAGGAAATAAGTGAAACCAGTATTTTCTGAGGACTTACTATCTGCCAGATACTTTGTCCAATTACTGCATGCACTGCTCACAATTTTGTGAGGTTAATGTTCTAAGAGCCACTTTGCAGCGAGAAAAATGGATATGCAGAGCTTTTAAGTAACCACCTCGGGTGAGGCTACGATTCAGTCACATCTTGAATTGGATGTGTTCATTGTGCTCATTCCACTGCACATGCAGCTCTCTGTGATGCAAGTTAGATTTTGACCAATTTGGGGGAGAAGCTACAGAAGTAGAAAAGGAAAAGAGATTATGACTCTGAGGATTAAGGAACATGGGGGATGCAGGCTTTAGGGGTCAAGATCCTCTGTGCTTGCTAGAGATGAAGGTTGAGGAAACTTCATGAGGAGAGAAAAATGAGAAAACAGGGGCATTCTTAGGGACTGGTGGCAGTGGAGACCATGATGCTGGAAAAGTAGAGAGGAGAAAAATCATCATCATCACGCAGTGCTGACTCAAGGGGTCTGAACTCCACTGTATGGGCACTGGTGAGCCACTGTAGGCTTTCAAAGACAAGATATAATCAGAGCAATGGTTTGGGAAAATCACCATGACAATAATGATTAACAAGGATGGAGCAGATGGGGGTAGTTTAAAGACAGGAAAACCAACTAGGTGGTCACTGGAGATAGCAGAAGAGACCCAGACAGAATAGAAAAGAGGACATGGAGGTAAGAGGTAGTAGTGGGAATGACACACAAGGTGATTGATGCATTTTTAATAAGGTGATATTCTAGCTGGCCTTGAACATATTTTCTTGGTGTAATTACGGATAGCACCTTTACTCTTAAAATGGTCCAACTGTGGACAATAACCTCTATGAACATATTAATTATAAGCAATAAGAAAACAGAACCAAAGGTGACTATAACAGTGTAATATTTTCTTCTTTCTTTTCTTTTCTTTTATCCTTCCTTTCTTTTTCTTTTTCTTTCTTTTCTTTCTTTCTTTCTTTCCTAAGACAAGATTTTCCTATGTAGTTCAGACTGGCCTTGAACTGCTGCTCTTGAACTTGAGGTGATCCTCCTGCCTCACCTTCCAGAGTACTGGGATTATAGGTGTGTACTACCATGCCTGGCTGGTGACTGTAATATTTTAAACCTGAGTTAGGAAGAAAGTTGATAAGACCTTTAAAAACACAGGAGGGAAATCAAGTTTGGGGAAAAGATGATGAATTTGGATTTGGTCATGCTGAATTTATTACTGAGGTGAGGATTTACTTGAGAGAGAGAAGCACCTTTCCTGTGGATTTGCGCTGTATAACATGAAGGAAGGCATCATTCACCTAAAAGCACAACACAAAGAAGATATGGTCAGACTTGGCATTATATGTATATTTCAACAGATCTTTGTTGATGGTTGAATTTTTAAAATAGCTAAAGTACAGGATGTGTCACCAATGAATTGTATATAACTATGCCATACTAACTAAATAACCAATCACCACAAATGTAAAGGTAAACAATCTTTAAAAATAATCCACCCTCACAATTTTTCCCTAATTAATCCCTTGACTTCAATGTTGTCAATGTTGTTGCCAGAAAGTAAAAAATCCACAGGCTACAAATTCTGTTCCAGCTCTTCTATTTTAGAAGTGTTCTAGCCTTTTAAAGAATGGAACCTCTAGCAGAAGAATCAATATTTTAAGGTTATATGTTTTTTTATCTTTTTATTAAAATTGTCCTATTTCCTGGCTGGGGATTTACCTCAGTGGTACTGATGCCTGCCTCAAAAGTGCAAGGTCCAGCTCCACCACCTGCCTCACAAGCGAAAGGGCCCAAGTTAGATCCCCAGTACCAAAAAAGAAAAAGAAAGCGCAAGGTCCTGAGTTCAATTTCTGGTATTAAAAAAAAAAGTCCTATTTCCTAATCAACTGAAATTATAATCTATCAAAAACACTTCTTCAGAAATGTAAGGTTAAAAAACAAATTACAAAGTACCTACAGTAATCAAGGCAGTGTGTTATTGATGAAAAAAATACAAAAATAGATCAGTAGAACAGAACAGAAAGCTCAAAAATAGACCCACACAGATGTAGTCAACTGATCGCTGACAGAAGATGAAAAGCAACTCAATGGAGAAAAGATAGTCTTTTCAACTATTGGTGCTGGAAAAATTGGAAAAATCCGTGCACAAAAATCACTTCCAAACAGACTGTAGACCTAACTGTAGAATGCAACACTATAAAACTGTCAGAAGAAAACAGAAAAAAAATGTAGGTCACCTTGGGTTTGACAATGAGTTTTTGGACACAGCACAAGAGCACAATCCATGGGGGGAAAATCCACAAGTTGACTTCATTAAAATTAAAAAACATCTATTCCGCAAAAGACATTGTTAAAAGAATGAGAAGACAAGACTTAGCCAGAGAGAAGATCTTTGCAAAAGACATAAAAGTGCTTTTATCTAACTCTGTATACTCAGGAAATTCTTAGAACTCAACAATAAGAAAACAACTCAATCAAAATTCAAGCCAAAGATCCAAAAAGACACCTTATGAAAGAAGACATACAGATGGTAAATAAGCATAAAAAGATACTCAGTGTAATCTGTCATTAGTGAATAGAAAAATAAAACAATGAGATATCGTGATACACTTCTTAGAATGACTAAGATCCAAAATGTGACACCAAATGGTGCTGAGGAACAAAAGGAATCCCCACTGATTTCTAGAGGAAATACAAGATGGTACAGCCCCTTGGGAAGACAGCTCTACAGTTCCTTACAAAATTAAACGCACCCTTACCAAACAACCCAGCAATCACAGTCACAGGTATTTAGCCACATTAATTGAAAACTTATGTCCACACAGAAACATGAGCATAAATGTTTACAGCAGCGTTAGTCACAATTGCCAGAACTCGGGAAGAAACAAAATGTCTCTCAATAGGTGAACAAATAAACAAACTGGTACATTCATGCAACGGAGTATCATTCAGCTACACGAAGAAATGAATTAGTAAAACACAGATACAAGTAGAAAAAACTTAAATACATAGTTACATGAAGGAAGTCAGTCTGAAAAGGCTACACAGTATATGATACTAGGCACATAACAGTTCTTAAAAAGGCAAAGCTAAAGAGACAATAAAAATATCAGTAGTTGCCAGATTTTCGAGGGTGAGGGTAAGGGTGAGTATGTGACGCCCAGGGGATTTTTTTAGAGCAGCGAAGCAATTCTGTATGACACATGGTAGTGAATACAAGACATTATGTATCTGACAGAACCCACTGCACTATACGACACAATACTGAGGCTTAATGTAAACTAGGACTTTTATTGGTACCAGTAATGTATAAGTGGTGATTCATCAGTTATAACAAATGCATAACAGCAGTACAAGGTGTTAATAATGGTGGAAACTTTGGGTGCTGGAAGAGAGAATATATACTTTCTGTTGAATTGTTCAGTATACTTAAAACTACTCCAAAAGAGTCTATCAATTTTTAAATAAGATAAATGACAACTGCAAAAAAAAATTTAAAAAGCAAAGAAGAATGGAATAAACAAAAGTGTCACTATTTGTTAATCCCAGCAACAAATAAGAAAAGTCGTCAAGACTCGGTGATACAAAACTAATTTATAAAAACTACTGATATTTCTTTACATCAGAAATAAATAGGACATGTAACAAATACTGTTCTAAAAGGCAACAAAAACAAAAAAGTACTTGTAATAAATGGAAAATCTTTAAACTCTATTAAATAAAGACCTGAATCCACGGTGATATAACCATGTTCACAGATGAAACATTATAAAAGTATCAATCACCTTTAAACTCTATTAAAGACCTGAATCCACGGTGATATAACCATGTTCACAGATGAAACATTATAAAAGTATCAATCTCCTGCAAATCAAAATATAAAAACAATACAGTTCAAGATTTCAGACAGTTATTGAAAAGCTATTCCAAAATTCATCTGAAAGGATAAAGATCCACAAATACCTATACATGACTCAAATTTGAAAAGGAAGACAAGAGTTACCCTTCCACATATCAAAATATACTTAAGGGCTGGGGATTTAGCTCAGTGGTGCCACTGCCTGACTTGCAAGTGCAAGGTCCTGAGTTTGATCTCGGTACATACATATGTGTGTGTGTGTGTGTGTGTGTGTGTGTGTGTATGATCCCGGTATATATGGGTTTTCTTAACTGAAAACTAGATTACTATAAAGAGGAAAATTCAATTAGCTGCCTGATTCATACTCAACATAAAGGTGACTTCAGATGTATTAATTCTGATATAAAATTATAAAGATAGCTGGGTTCCAAGGCACATTTAAGAGCCCCAGCCACTTGGGAGGATGAGTCAGATGGAATACTTGAACCCAGGTTTGAAACCAGCCTGGACAACACAGTAAGATCCGATTATAATAATAACAACAACAAAACTATAACATTAACAGAAGGAAATCATTGTGACCCAAGTATAATGAAGAACTTCCAAGATAAGTCTCCCAATAGTGTAACCATAAGGCAAAATACTGCTGTGGTTGATTATGCTAAACCTAGACAAAAGTGGCCGTAATGTGACAAACTTGGAGGAGGTCTTTTGTAAAGTCTCAAACTAACATCAACAACCTGGCCACTCAAAAGACCGCAGGCTTCTGCACTACCAGGAGCTGCTTAGAAATACGTGATCTTCAGCCTCTACCCTCACTGAATCATTATCTAAACCTTGACAAGACCAGGTGATTTGTATGCACCTCACAAAGTTTGAGAGGCACAGATTACACAAGAAACTTTTACAAATTAACAAGAAAAAGACAGGACTCCAACTAGAAAACTGCATAAGGAGAATTAAATTATAATTCAAAGCATTGGAATCCTGAATGGCTACCAAAACTGTATCTGCACATAAAATCAACTTTTAGTACTGGGGATTACACACATGCTGGCAGGTGCTCTACCACTGTGCTACTTTCCCAGATAGGTAGAAAATATGCAAAAATATGCTTAAATTAATAAGAAACCTGGGAAATTCCAATTAGAGTAATAAGATGCTACTTTGTGCCTTATCATTTGGGCAAAAATTAAAAAGCTGTCAACAGAGTGGCAAATAAGAATTCTCATGCATTGCTGGTAGGGACATAAATTGATCAAGTCATCCTGGAGAGCAACCGGCAATCAAAGTAAGTATACATGTATCTCATGACCCAACTATTCTAGTCACACAAGTGCCTAGGGAGGGTGTTATCACCATACCAATCATTCCGGTAATAGTATCAAGTCAAAGTTGAGTTGATCAACAGGGAATGAATCTGTAAACTATGATATATGTGCACCATGTATGACCATTCAGCAGTGGGAGGCAATCAAGTAGATACAGAAATAGAAGAGATTTTTAAAAAGAGAACTGAGTGAAGAATTAAGAAGCACAGCAAGGTCAAAAGCATACCACCAATGTTTAACTTAAAAAATAGACTAGTACATAATAATTCTGTGAGTTTTACAAGGAAATCTAAATCCAAAGATATGTATCAATGGTACTGGGGGAACTCAATACCCCATTGTCACAAACAGACAGATCATCTAGACTAAAAATCATCAACAAAATACTAGAACCAAACCAAGCTTTAAAACAAATGGACTTAATAGACATCTACAGAGTGTTCCACCCTACAAAATCAGAATATACATGTTTTCAGCTGCACATGGATTGTTTTACAAAATAGACCACATGCTAGTTCATAGAACATGTTTAAGTAAATGCAAAGGAATTGAAGTGACCCCATGTACATTATCAGACCATAGTGCAATTACAGGAGATCAATAGCATAAGAAACTGTAAGAGCTGCACAAACACATGGAAATTGAATAACACCTGAACAACCAATGGGTCACAGCAGACATAAAAGAAGAAATGAGACAGTTTTTACAATTTAATAACAATGGCAGTACAATATACAGGAATCTATGGGATACAATGAAAGCAGTTTTATGTGGGAAATTCATAGCCATGAATGCCCACACTAAGAAAACAGAGCGAGCTCAAATAAACAACCTAATGGCAAATCTTAAGATTCTAGACAAAGAAGAGCAACAGAAACCCAAAATTCATACAAGGGAAGAAATTACAAAGATCAGAGCAGAAATCAATGCAATAGAGACTAAGAGAGTGATACAAAAAAATCAATGAATCAAATAGTGGGCTTTTTGAAAGAATAAATAAAATTGATAAATCCTTAGTCTACCTTATCAAAAAAGGAAAGAAAAGGCTCAAATTCATGCAATTAGGAATGAAAATGGTGAAGTCACAACAGATCCAGCAGAAATCCAG